CTTCACCTGTGAGAAAGATGCCGGCCCTCTAAGCAGGCTTCTCTGGCCACCTGGCCAGCAGCTCCCTGGACCTCAGGTGCTTCAGGTTCATGTTCAGCTGACCGGTTCTCTCCCCCTGCCCAGAGACCATCGCTGCCAGCAGCCACTGTGAGCTGTGTGAGAATGCCGCCTGTACCGGCTGCCTCTGAGGTGGCCCTGGAGATCCTGTGCCAGCCCTGGACACCTCGCGCCACCCCCCCCCCCAACCACTGCCTTTGCAGCCCCCACCCCCACCCAAGCTCTGGCGGTGCCCTGGCCACCTCGGTCATTGCCACCCTCCCAGGCAAATCCGCTGGATCTGGCACAGAGCAGTGTGACTCGCCGTTGGAGGAGAGTTTGGCCCCTTAGAAAGCCCTGCTACTGAATAAAGATTCTCCACTCACATGTGAATCAGAGTCCACTTGTTCATCCCCAGGAGCCCTGGGAGGAGCTTCGTGGGAGCCGGGTGGGCTGAGGACAAAGTGTGGACTAGAGTTAGGAATCCCCAGGGTTCCAGCACCCAAGGAGTCGGTTCACTACGTCCTGGTCGGGATAGAAGGGGGTGAGCTCAGGGCGGGAAACAAGGCGCCCAGGGTCCACAGAGCACCCAGACTCACGTACCCCAAGCTGAGCTCAAGGCCTGGCCTGGCTGCAGGGCCAGAGCTCTGCGCTCCTGATGGGGGTGGGGGGAGCTCCCTTTCTTCACTGGGACAGGAGTGGGTGGAGGAAGGGTCCCGTGGTGCCCCCTCCCAGGCCCATCATCAAGCTGACCACGTGCTCATGGTGCCTGAGAAAATGGCCCTTCCCTTTCACCTCCGGTGCTCCCAGCCCCAGAGAATATTAATCACAATAGCCACCGTTTATTGCGCATTTGCTACAGCCTAGGCCAGCTGTGGGCAAACTATGGTCCGAGGGCCGGATCCGGCCCGTTTGAAATGAATAAAACTAAAAAAAAAAAGACCATACCCTTTTATGTAATGATGTTTACTTTGAATTTATATTAGTTCACACAAACACTCCATCCATGCTTTTGTTCCGGCCCTCCGGTCCAGTTTAAGAACCCATTGTGGCCCTCGAGTCAAAAAGTTTGCCCACCCTTGGCCTAGGCACTATTCTAAACCCTTGGCACGTATTAGCGCACTAAGCCTCACAGCAGTCTAACGAAGCAGGTACTATTATGATTAGCATCTCCACTTTACGAAGAAGGACACCGGGCTCCGAGACGACCAGTCCAGGCTCAGCAAAGTGGTAAAGCAGGATTCTTCCCGAAAAGCCTGGGCCAGAATCCATGCTCTGAAATGCCAGGCTGCGTCTCCCTGTGACACCGGCCCCCAGGCCCTCTGCCTCCACATTCTCCCTCACAGTGGCCTTCGGTGGCATAACTCAAGGCCAGAGCCCAGCTGGGAATTCCCTGGAGCAGGGCCTTTCCTCAGCATGGGGTCCTCCCCAGCTTTTGCCTGGGGCAGTCAGAGAGGAGGAAGGTCGGTACCGAGGAGCTGGGCCCTCTGAACTCAATTCCCCAACCACTTCTGGGCCAAAGCCAGGATGAACCACCCCCCGTCCGCCGCCAGAATTCCACCCCTCCTGACTGCCCAGTTCTGCTCCTGAGTCCTGTAGTCTCCCAGCCCGCCAGGCCGCAAACCTCAGAGCTCCAGCCCCTTTCCCTTCCTCCCCAACGGGCCAGATTGGCTGGGGCCCTTGCAATGCCTCCGGCGTCCCTCTGGCCGCTCTCATCTCTACCATCACTCGAGGTGGGCGTTTAGCACACTACCCCAGACCAGGCCGGAGCGTCCTCCCTGCCCTGCTTTCCATA